GGTCATCGTGAAAGACCGGGTCCTACTACCGTAACAACGCGACCGCGTTGACAATGACCACAGCTTGTCGACAGATACGAGCAATTTCACACTTGGCTGCGATGCACAAGTGGCGATAAGAACCAGACTATACGAGTAATGCAGCAGAAGCAGCACCCAAAAGGGTTTGGTTTCGATCACTTCAATTCGAAATTAACATAACTTTTTGGGGGGACCGTGCTCGCCGAAAATTTTGAGTGAAACTTCCAATGGGGCCAACAGATACATTTTGTGCGTTTTATGCCCAGCCATGAATTATTCATAAAGTCTGCGTATTAAATAGTTTTTATGCTCATGAAAAATGTTTTATGAGAATTGCGCGCTGCAGTTGCCGCAGCTCTGTGAACCCGACCATCCCAGGCGGAGGCAGAGCCAGGGACAGAGCTAGTCTTCAAGTCCGAGTGTGTGCAATCGATTTGAATTTTTAATGATTAGGCGCCAGAGTGCCACCGTGCGTTTCATGTATGTCTGCCTGCTCATCTAATACTCGTACACAGTGCATGGCCCAACCGCATATGTGTATGCATATACCTACACCAAGTGGCGCTCATAAAAACTAATTAGTCGGTCGTCTAACTGCCTCTATTTCTAGCATTTGCCTGGGTGGTAAAAAGTGGAGACGGTGATAAAAGCGTTAGAACAGAGCGTCGTAGCCCATAATGAATGGGTTTTTAGAAAATTAAATGAAATGACTTTGTCACGAAGCTTTTAGTGGATCCGAGGCAACATGAAAGTGTGGAGCATCTTTGTCGAGCGCTGTGAAAGATGAAGTGAAATGATAAATGGGGGCTTAAAGACTATGAATAAAACGCTATTGCTACCGAAGCCCTGGAAATTCATTCGCGTGAGAATCTTAAATGGGGCTAGTCTTTGAGCATTTGACTCCAATTTAGACTCAGTAATTTTAAAAATTGCATATTTTTTTATCTTTTATATATTATTGATTGAAAAAAAGCTGGAGGTTAAAGGAACTACAATATGCAATTTGAAAAATTACAATTTACAGACTATACCTATTCGTTTAAGACGTTCTTTCCCCAAGTCACCTTCTTCGACAATAAATACACATTTTATTAAACTGTAGAAATCCAGAAGAAAAGTAATTCATGACCTAAAAAAAATCGAAGACCCCAATCAATAGTGTTTTTTATAGATTTGTGTACAGTATTTTACTATAACATAATATTATTAGAATTGTTTATAAAGATTGTATAGTTCACAAAACTAAATAAACTAACTAAATAACTAAATAAAACATTCTACGAAGAGATTAACAAATACCTAAAATTTTGTTATTTTTCAGGTTGTTGAACAGAGTTTAATATTTTTAGAAACAAAATTATGGTTTATTCGTTTTCAAAAGTTATTTAGTTGAATGGTATTCAAAGTCGGGTAGGATATGAATATGTTTTCTCAGTGAAAAGGAGTGCGTATTTGTTTGGCAACGTTATAGTGGTGCTATCGTTATAGTGGATGGCTATAGTTAAGAAATTTTGATTGTATAGCAACGATTTAAGCGGTCCATTTATTTTTTTGTGAAGTTGCTATCACTATAATGCTAAGATTCTTCTTGGTATAGATATTTTTTGGGATTGAGTTGTACTCTTAAGAATTTGTATTGGGTGTGTAGGCCAAAGAACTGTTTAGTGAAAAGTTATCCGTTTTATCGATCAGTCTGTGCTTTTTACATAATTTTATTTTTGGCAAACAAATTATTAGTGATCTACTATTTTGAGCAATATGTGTGCTGGTTGTTTATAGCTGAAATAGATTTAAAGGCATTATGAAAACCTCAAACGTTTATTATTCAAAGAATATCTAAGTATACTCTTCGACTCAAATTGGCCTTCCTCAATGTATAGTATCTACCTCTATATATTCCTCTCTTAACATACACCTGCGATGGCGCCGCGTCAAAATATTCGAAATGCTCACAAACATCGCTCCTTTAGCATCTCTGCTAATTATGCGCATGCGCGCTAAAGATATTGATCTTAACAAATCGTTTGTCAAAAAATAAAAATGCACGAGCGAGTTTAAGGAACGCATGCTGGTCTGACGGCTGCTGTCCAGTTTGTCGATTGCCAAATACAGAAAAAAACAAAAATGAGAAACAAACCGAAACAGAAAATGAAATTCTAAACCGCACGAATGTCGAAATATTTGTGCGTTTTGTGCTTCTACGTATGTATTTTTAAATGTGCGCTCTAATGGAATTCAACAGAGAACCGAGAAGGAATCAAATTAAATTTGAGCAAACCAAACGCCACAGATTTCAATTAATTAATCATTGTGCAGCAGTTTTGGGCAGCACACAAAAACAACAACAAAACAAAAAAAATACAAAAATCATTGCCAAAAACAAACTAAAAACTAAACAACATACAAACAAGCACAAACACACACCAGCAAATGCTTTCGACTGGCGCCAAGCGCCGTGGCCACCTGCTGTGTCTTGGCATCGACAATAAGATGGTGGGACGATTGGACGACTGGACGAAGGAACAGCCGCCGTCGCAACGCATCCTTGTTAGCACAGCGCAAACGCGACCTCAGCCTCGGCCTCGGCCTCGTCAGGGGCAACAGTCGCGGCACGGTTCGGATCGGAACCTGCCCGTCCTTTATTTGTTTGCGTGCGCCCAATTCACCGCGCCGCTACCCCTAGGCCTAGGCCTAATTACATGGCCCACGAAAAAACTCACAATTAAATATTTGTAACGCCCACGCATTGGGCAAATACACACCCATAGGCACTTAAATAAATGCATATAGTGTGCGTCTTTTAAGAGGTCGGTTTCACTAGTTTTCATCTCTCTAACCTCTAACGGAGTAGTTGTATATAAATCGATTCTATAATAAAAAAAACTTAAGTTTAAAAAAATTATGTTTAGAGCCTGGAAACATTATTAAAGATCGAAGATATTCCCTACTGCTTGCTTTGTAGCTTTATTTCGGCATTTTAATATTTTACTCAAATGGTTTAAACAACAATGTAAAATTAACGCCAAGTCATAATGTTTATCATTTAAAATTCATGAAATTTTAAAAAGTATAAACTATTTGTACCTTCTATAGAGGACATACGAACTGTAAAATGCAAAACTTTGTAAAATATGTTCTTAAAAAAATTACACAATATGAACTAATTATTAGCATTAATATCAAAGCTAGAACTGAAAATTAGAACTGGATATCTATTTGACAAACGTATATTTAGATCTTGAAAATTTGTAACAATATGTATTTCTTTAACTTCCTCACAAACTCAAATATTCATCAAACCTACCTCGTCAATTCCCAGTATTTTTTTATAAAGTCTTCTACCTAATTTTTGTTAGCTATATTTGCGCACAGTTTTAAATTATCGAATAAATTTCTTTATTTGTTTATTTTTTTATTGCAGACGCATGTTCCCCTCGATGCGACTGAGCGTTTCAGGCCTTGAGGAGGAGACTAACTACTGCGTCCTTCTCGAAATGGTACCCATTGGCGATTGTCGCTATAAGTTCTCGGGATCACAATGGGTGCCTGCAGGTGGCGCCGAACCGCAGAGTCCACAACGCATGTACCTACATCCCGATAGTCCTGCGACAGGTGCGCACTGGCAGGCCCAACCTATACTCTTCAATAAAGTCAAACTGACGAATAATACTCTGGATAATAGTGGGCATGTAAGTATATAGCTCGTGACATTAGAAAATACCCGCAGATGGAATTTGCAAAAAATATTCCAGATTTCATATACATTAAGGGATTTAATTGAAAAAATGTATGTCGGAGAGAAAAAGAGCTCATTGATATGGCTTCAAATAAGTATTGTCGGAACCCATCTACTTGACAACTGCCTTCTTTTAATAAAATCAGCCTAGTCTACAAATATACAATATCATCTCAATTCACGATTTATGCTATATAATCAAGTCGGAGGACTTGTTCTTGGTACAAAGTTTTCGGGTTTATTGAGATTTGATATTACTTGTATATCTAATAATAATATCTAATCTATTCAATAACTAAAACAAAAGCAAATCCTAATGGGAATATAAGTATTGTCGGAACCCATCTACTTGTCAACTGCCTTCTTTTAATAAAATCAGCCTCGTCTACAAATATACAATATTATCTCAATTCACGATTTATGCTATATAATCAAGTCGGAGGACTTGTTCTTGGTACAAAGTGTTCGGGTTTATTGAGATTTAATATTATATCTAATAATAATATCTAATCTATTCAATAACTAAAACAAAAGCAAATCCTATGGGAAAGCCATATCTTGGAAGTCCTTATTACCAGTTCTCTTCTTTTTCAAATGTCGGAATGCTAACTAATTTACAGCGAGTTCGAAAGTTCAGACAGCTTCCTAATAAAGCATGTAACAAGACTTTCGATTCGAGAATCAACTAAGTTATTTATATAAACAATTTGTTTGTCATCTCGTGATTTATATTTGTAGATTTACTCCAAACATAGTTGGAACTGACTGCTCTTACTGAATTAGCGTTCAGTTCCTTCAAAGGAATGTGATATGATTAGCTATTTCTTCTTTTTTTTTTGGCGAAATGTAGCTGATAGGAGACCAATGCTCTGTCTTTCTCTCTCTTATTTAAATATGCTCTATTCCCTCTCTTATAATTGTCATTGTCCCTTTACAGATCGTGCTCGCGAGCATGCACAAATATCAGCCGCGTCTGCATGTCATACGCACCGCTGATCTCGCACAGATACCTTGGGCGCCACAGCAAGCCTTTGTCTTTGCCGAGACAGAGTTCGTGGCCGTGACAGCGTATCAGGTAAGTTCATTCCTCCAGTGTCATTCACAGTTTTTTGCCAATTCATTGAGCATTGGTCCCAAACAATACTAATTAGTTAATTTCGAGCCAATCGCTCACGCCATGGGTAGCTGACCAAAGACTCGAATTAGCATGCAACGCCCTTTGACTGACGCGGCGCCGAACTCAAGCGGCCCAGCACTCACTCGCACATAAGTCAGTCGCAGAGTCAGGCGATCGGTGCTGGGCTGATGCTCAGTCGATCCGCTTGTTGTTTTAGGAAGTTGGATAGCCACATCCTTGTTAATTTGAGCGCTTGCTGTGTTTTTGTCTAGGTCCTATGTCTCTGTAACTGTAACTGTCTCTGACAGCGTCTGTGACTGACACCAAGTGACGCCAGACGTCTTCGTCAGCGCCTCTAATTAGCCCGATCACTTGAAGCGATCGTCGACATAGTACTACGAGTATAGTCAGCTCATTTTCATCCTCATCAGAAAGTTGTCAAGTCATGTCGGCTATAGGCACTCGAGTCAGGGCGCTCGGTGTCAAGTGGCCCTGTTACTTAACGCCAGCTACCGATGTTCGCTTACTCAAGAATGTTATGTTCCCTGTCTGCTGTAAACTACTATCGTCATATTTCACGCAATTTACAACAATTTTGCTCATCTGTTCATCCAATGTTTTGTTTTTTGTTTTTTGCTTTCCTTTCATTTCAACAGAACGATCGCATCACAAAGCTGAAGATCGACAACAATCCATTTGCGAAGGGCTTCCGCGAAACGGGTCAATCGCGTTGCAAACGCAAAATGTCTTCATCACCAACGCAGGAAGATCAAGATCATCAGCCTCATCAGCATCAGCAGCATCAGGTTCAGGTTCAGCAGGCGGGGGGAACAGCACAGACGAGTGGTGCTAGTCAGCCAGTGCAGAGAAGTCCAAGCTCGCTTGATATGTCGCCAACAAAATCTGCGCTGACAAGCGCCAACGATCCAGAGTCCCACAATAACAACAACAACAACAACAATAGCGACAACGATGGTCCGCAAATTAAGCGCCTGAGATCAAATGGCTCCGCATGCTCGTTATCATCATCGCTCGACGGCGCTGAGCCTGGCGCCAATGGCAACGTCAACGTCAGCAGCGGCAGCGGCAACGGCAACAGCAGCATGCAAATGCCGCCCATGGGGCCCGCAGCTTCACCGCCTGGCGGCCACAATGCCAGCGCCTTTATGCAGCACATGCAAACCTTGCTGCGACCTTCGCTCGTCGATTTTGCCTGCACGTACTTTGGCCGACCAGCCCATGAGCATGGGACGCTTTATCCGAATGCTGTCGCCGCTGGAACATTGCCGCAGTCACCATCTCCATCCCATTTGTATGGGCCACCATCTATTTTGCAAGCGGCTTTCCCGGCACTTCCTGCTCTCGGCCTGCCACACAGCATTTCCGCAGAGCAGACGCAGCTGCTGCAACACTCAGATGATTCTACCGCTGATGAGCTGGATGTGGGATGCGAGACCTCAACGGACCAACAACAGGAACAACCACAGCACCACCACCAACAACAACAACAACAGCAACAGTCCTCGCCGCCCTCGAAACGCAAAGGTTTTAGCATATCAGCCATTCTTGGAGGCGGCAGTTAGTCAACAATCCTCCATGAACTGTGGGAGTAATTCAAGGGATACTTATAAAATGTGTAATATATCGAACTCTGCAGCATAAGTAAAGGACTAGCAGGTGCCAGGACTAAGGTTTCTGATTAGCAGTATTATTCGATGGGCCGAAGCTTATATATTCTACAACAAAATTGTTCATTTATTTAAGATCTGCTCGTTTCTTTGGAAGCTAGAGGATATGATAACGCAGATATTGTAGAATCGCGTGAAGAATAAAATACTCCGGTTTTAATAAATAAATCTAAATAAAAATAAAATAAATAAATAAAAATAAAGAATCCTAGGTACCACATTTAAAAGCCTCAAAACTGAAATAAAAATGTTTTTATACAAAAATCATCCAATATCTAATAACAATATGAAAAAGGACCCAAAATAAATATAATCAAGGCAACACTCTTAAAGAAGCCAACTGGAAGTTTTTAAACAATTTTCATTTACAGATTGCTGATAAGTCTGTTAAGTTCAGAGTCCTGGAGAAAAACAGTTGCCTTATATAGTATTGTGATTCGATGTGAAAAATACTACTAATTTTTAGAATCTATTGATATTTAAAAGTAACCCTTACATTAAATCGAAGAGTTCGAAAAATTACACATTTTATGAATGCTTCCATAGCGCTTTCCTTGCGTTATATATAGTTTTATTTGATATTACAAATAATGTACAAAGCATGGTAGTATTTAAGCTTATTTTGGCCTGATTAGCTCATAAGTCTAGTTAAGTTAAACACTCATATATAGTATGCTTAAACTCGTAATAAAAACAAAATGCTCTCCTACGAGTATAACAAATCAATCATCTAGTAGTTATCATTTAAAAAATGGCCTGCTGTGCGCAACTTCAAAGCCTGCACACCCACACAATGCCGGAGGTAAATGGTTGCAACATGAAATGAAAATGTACGAGCCAGTTGGCATTATCGGTGGTACGCAGATCGAAGATCTCTGCAACTGAAAAACAGAGAGAAGACGTTCAAAATCACAACTTCCGCTAGACATTAATCCCAACCAATTTACAAGATAAACGCTAGAATTTCAACAACATCATCAGTCGGCAGATCAAGCCGAAGACGCCACAGCATCCATTAGCCACACAAGAACTCATCATGGCGAGTGGCCAGAGACGCAGTCGTCGTCTACATAATTTGTTTGCAATTAAATAGCTCGACAAGGCATGAAATTCGGTTGCAGCCCTGCGACTACGCCTTGCAACAGTTGCACGCACCCCAGAGAGTCATAGAGGGCAGAGGAAAAGATAATATTTATGAAATGGGCAGCGACTAAAAACGAGGAACAGCAGCAGCAGCAGCAGCAGAACACAATTTGTTATGTAAGTTGCAACGTGGCTTCTTTCCCTCTTTGTTTTTTTGGGTAAATCTTTTAGAATGCAGCCAATGATGAAGTTTACGATGACATGCGTCACCTCCCACGTCTGGACGATGACGATGACGACGACGACGACGTCGACCGCAGCTACAGCAGCAAAAACAAACAACCATTTCAATTTAACAGCAAATCGATTTGAAATTGTTGCCAACGTTCTCGTTGTTGTTGTTCTTGTTGCTATAGTCTCTGGTCGCTAGGGATCTGCGGTTTTATAGCTCACCAAACGGGTGACAGATGTCGACTATGTGTGTGTTGACAGGCGCAAGGTTGTTGCAAGTAAGTGCATCGAATGCCTCATTAAATGCTGCGGCTGACAATTGCCTTGGCAGATGGTGCAGGTTCAGACACCGTACGCTCCCCTTTCCCTTCGCTCCCTTCGCTCCCTTCCACTCATTCCATGTGTCTAATTAATGCATCTCGCTGTTGGTTTTTACGCTCAAAGCCGCGACAGCCATTTACTCGTACTCTTTGTATGGAGGCACCATGAAATTAGATACACTTTGTCGTGCAACATTTTTTGTCTATTGTGTAAACAACTACAATTTTTGGAGGGCGACCCCTAAATGTATGTAGTAATTTCTTAAACGAAAGTTAATTAGTAACTTTGTGTACCACTGAGTGTAGTCGAATAGATGTGGGCGTCGCCATAGGAAGTGCTAATGAGTTATAAGACGTTGCACGCGTGGCTGCCAATCCACTAAACTAACTTCACATTTTAAAGTATGCACGCAAAATGTCGTAATAAATACAATTAATAAACTTACACAACTCTAGTATTTGTGTTTTTAATAACTTACTTAAGAATTTTTGATACCAAATACGATGTGTCTATCCTCAGACAAAATCATCTGGATACCCGAACGACATAACTTTCCGATTAAAAGTATTGTACAATTTTTGTTGCTATTCGTTGTTACTAAAACATTATAAATAGTATATTTTTCTTGGCTAACTCTACTCTCCCTAAATGATTAACCTAATGCCTGAAAACTAAGAACAATAGCTTCAAAACAACCCTAGGACATGATCATGAACTTAAAGTTTAAACTTGTGTTTGAATATTGTAAGATCTGGTAAGAAATTGAAAGTTATTCTAATATCATTTCACAGCTAATGACATTCCTTTAATTTAAATTATGCTTTGGGATATTCTTGATATAAATAAAAACTTGGCAAATATTTTATAATTTCTTATCTTCAAAACTCATCAATCTCGACTGTAATACAATAATAATTTATAACAATTTATGGTTAAGTCTGTGTAGGACACACATTTGGAATGCAAAGTATAATAATGTAGAGACGACCACCAACTCGTATAACTGAATTTTTGCTCAATTTTAGATCTATTTTTGTCCATAGTTCAATGTGACGACGTGGGCACGGTTGAAGAGCAAAGATTCAAGTATTCGCGAACGCCATATGCACTTGACGTACGTACGTATGGGTATTATTTGGCATTGGCCAAAAACCACAGAAATCGTGATCAGCTCTAGCAGGCCAAATAGGTAAAATAGGTAATTAGTGTGACGACGACATGACGGCGCGTGCAGCACGCCTAAGCCAAGCCCAAAACTGTCCGGGCGACTGGCTGAACAGCTGCGGTCGGTGAAAGAGTCGCGTCCGAAATTTCCGCGTTTTGATTCATTCAAAGGATTTAGGAGCAGCAAATGCTGCGCAGGAAACATAAATCCGTCGGAGTGAGTTCGTAGCAGGCCAACTTTGATATGTACATGTGTAGTCCTATGTACATATGTATGTGTGTAGCTGCCTGGCGTTAAGCAAACAGAGACTCGGACAATGATAGACAAGTGAACAAAGCGCTGGTACTTGAGTTTTTATTGTGTTTCACATGCAAATATGTATACCGTACAGCACAAACTATGCAGAATGCAACAAAGCGTGGCACAACTCAAAGAACAGGGTAGCCGGAACAATGCATCTCGTGTCGCCGGTGCCAAGCCATAAAATGCAACCGACCGTCTGACCAAGACACTATACATCGTATATTTCTATACGCGTTTTGTCTGTCTGTATGTATTTGTGTGGTTTAAGGCGGAGTTGCCGAAGTCCAGGGTTTTAAACTAGAGCACTAGAACACCACTAAGCACGGTGGAAGCAGTTTATGCAAATGGGCTCATATGGGTTGTGAGGGACGACTATGGGACTGGACAATTAACAAAGCGTGTAATTTTTCAAACGTATCGTGTGAACAATGGCACAAACAATTACAGGATAATGAAAATCACCCACACACGCAGAATGCAAATAATGGAGGATGGTAACAGTACTTACCATGTTGCTAATTCCTGCATACATACACACATACATGTATGTATATGTACTAGAGATGGGCACGGGCCGGCTATTTTCGGCCCGACACGACACGGCCACGAAATTAACTTTTAGAAACACGCACGCGCACGCACGACGAAAATTTTTCTTAACACGGCCCAACACGAACTTTTTATATATTAAATATAAAAATTAAAAAAAAAATATATATATATATATAAACATTACACATTTTTATTCAGAAAGATTATCTTATCAATATTTGAGCTAAGATGCCGAGTACGTCGCTCATTTAAAATATGTCCAGAAGTGGAAAAAACTCGTTCGCTTGTTGCAGAGCTGACAGGGATATTGAGTATATGCCTTGATAATTGCCGTAGCATTTTACATTTTGTTGTTTTTTTCCAGAATGTTAGCACACAAATTCTTGGATCAACTACACTACTTATATAGTCATCTATTTCAATATCCATTCTTGACCTGTCCAATTTAATTTTTTTTTGAATTATTAGTGTCCAAAAATTCAGAAAAGTCGTGTTGACTATTGGGTGCTTCGTTTTCTGATTTTAGTGTTCTTTCGTGTTTCCTCGTGCGTGTTTTGTCGTGCCTTTTTGGCTCAACACGAACACGCACGGCCACGCACGAAATCGGAATTTACAACACGAACACGCGGGCCCACGCGTGGCACGAAGTGCCACGACAAAAAACACGGCCCGTGCCCAACTCTAATATGTACTCGTTTGTATGCATGTGTGTATAAATGCACTGGTATGTCGAAATACAGTTGAAGCAATTAAAAGGCAAAAGCAACAACAAACACAATGGCGGTTGGCCAAAATTCGACCTGTTCATTGTATTGTTTTTACAACTCTATTGAGTGCAAAATTGTGCGATCAAAGCTGGTAGGATCAGATACTTTTGAAAAACACACACACACACGCGGCACACTTACTCCTACCACCTTTGATTAAAATTTGGAGGGCACTGCCAGATAAAACGATGGTTGATCCATTGTGAATGCATTCTTCTCCTGTCCCCCCATCGATAACGAACATCGATTGCAATTGCTTGTTGCAGGCTTTTGCCATCACTACGAATTAAAATACGAAAAAGAGCGCGAGGTATTTGCGATATTGTACGCCAATTGCGTATTACTATTACTTAAAATGGAGTCTCCAGAAATCGAATGCGATGATACTCGTGACGACGACAACGATTCCTTTCACTCCTTTGTTCAAAGCTTAAGCCCGGAAGGCTCATGTAATTCACTACATGATGACGGCTACGAGTTCGACATGGACATCACAAACGAAGTGGAGGAAGACGAGGGTGTAAGTACATATACACATTCATATCAACAAATATATTATTTAGTTAACTTAAAATTAATTCTAAATTACACATTTATATTTTTTTAAATTAAGGAAAATTACTGCAAGGATGTGGCAGAAAAAGTTGAGCCAGAGCCTATTAAATTGGAAGCAAAGACCGATGATGTCATGATAGAGAAACCATCTAAATCTTCCAGCCCTGACTCTGAGATACACCATGACGAAACTGCTACCGTGGAACTTAAAGCGTACAAAGATCAGCTGGTTCTTAGCAAAGCTGAAAAGAAATTGGATAAGTCTTCATCCAACCCTTTGGTCAACAAATTTTTCACCCAAGCTCCACGACATTCGCCAATGAAGAATGACTCGGTCACAAATAACTTACAAGAGCTATCTGATGATTTATTTGATATGAGTCTTGTGGCTCAAAAGCCAACAACTTTGAAGCGCGATGCCATGCAGAAGTATGCCTTCACCGAAATGTGGATTGGTTCTCAGCAGAAACGCTCACCAATACAAGACTTTGCCACTGCCATGGATACATATTTTCACAACGCCAACCCTACCCGGTTTGACAATCGGACGCGTAGCGATGAGGAAGGGAGCTCAAATATGTATGAAGCATTTGCCACTGCCGAGGAACCAAAGCTATTTGATGAGCCAACACGCGAAGAGAAGCAAAACATAGCCAAGACAAATGTAAGTCAGTGTATATATAAACATAGGGCAAATATATGAATATTAGGAATTACAGTCAAGCGCTGATGAATCGAATGGCTCGCCGATTTTTGCTCAAAAGGAAGAGCCATATGTCTCGCCCTTCGATGATATGCCTCCGATGCCACCAGTGAAACTGATTGAGAGTAACAAGAAGAGAGTCATTACTGTGCCAGCCGGCTTCGATTTGATGAATCTTAACAAATACAAGGATCCTAATCATTGGCATATTCGTTCTACCACACGCAACACTGAAAATGTTGACTAATAATAATAATAAGTTTCCTTGTCAATTAGTTGTATGCCAATTGATCAACATCAGGTATGATGATTTGAAATGAACACTTTTCGTTACTTTGCTTTCTTCATTACCATTACCAAGAGTAGCTATGAAAAATAAAACTAATTTTGAATTTTGACAATTCCCAAACAATTAAAGCGCCTAACATAGCCATCTGTCAGGAACTGTATCGAAGACATAATATCGCCAACGTTGTCGTCGTCGTCGTCGATGTCAATGTCTTCTAAGAGCAGCGGGTCGCATACTCCAAATCCAAATGATTTCATTGTTTGAGCTGCCGATAAAATTGTCGCCAGCGCCAGTGAAAATGTTGCCCGTGACTTTGATTTTGGCCGCCACAACATTAATTTCCAAAGAAATTACACATACTATACGTATATGAAAGAGAGTATACAAAAAGCGGCAACATGCAGTCATGGGACAAAAACTTGCGCTTATCTGCATTCAAAGATCTCAGCCAGCCAACGAAGACGGCGCGCTCATTTGACTTTGACATGCGAGAAGCGTTTGCGAACTGGTTGTTCTGTTCGTTCGTTCTCTCTGGTGGCGGCCGTGTATCCCGAATACTCCAAATGAGAATTCAATAAATTTTAGCAAAAAGCCAAAAGCGGCGGCAACAACAACAACATCAACAACAAAAACACAATGGCTTAATGCGGATTGGAGCGACGTCGTTAGTCTTTTGGCGACGTTTAACATGAATATGCAGTGTTGCTAATGTGGAGCCCATAAACACTTCCAGCGGCAACATGAAATGAGCAACAGATGTTGCCCCAAAACAGGTTGCTTTTACAAACATACACAACATACATATGTACATACATGTGCAGAGGTATACTACTACGTGTGTGGGGGAATTAACAATTGCTTCTTAACGCGAATTGAAATGAAATGCCACCAGAGTTGTTTTGCAATTGGACCAGTAATTGCTGTAGTTGTTGTTGTTGCTGCTGCTGTTGGCTCTCTCACTGGCTAACACTTGCATCAAAGTGGATGCCGCCAATCGGTGGCGCTACATTTCCGTTGGCCACTTGATAAGCCAAAGCCACCAAACGAGCCGCATGTGTGAGACTCGGCTGAATGTGGCCTCCTGGACAACAATTGCATGTAAGCAGTTACAACTACAATGTGAAAACATCAATTACATTTGCTTACTAAGCTGCTTGGCAGGATTTTGAATCTTTCGTTTTTTTTTTTGGTGGTTGTTGTTGTGGTTACTCCTTACTTATTGTTGTTGCTTGCGGTCGCGTTCAATCGGCGCATTTGAGTTGGCGCCAGCGTTTAAGATGCGGCTTGCTCTGATCTGTTGATAAGCCTTCTCGTTGTCGACGTTGATACTGTGTTATTGTTGTTGTTGTTATCGTCGCCATAGTTGCCAATGGAGGCAGGTAAGCTCCGAGAACATGCGCATACTCTCTGGGTGAGTTGGGCATGCGTTTATGGGTGAGCGAAGCGCATTTTGCGTGCGGCACATCGAACAGGTTTTGTTTTTAATGCTCTGCATAAAGTGGAGCTTTGAAATGCTGTGAGAAATTTGAACGGGCCAATAATGCGAGTAGAAGAAGTTTGTCCTGACTTGCTGACTGATTGATAATCAGCTATGAAGCTGAAATTTGGACACAAATGTCCTCCAACATTTTTAAACGTAATCCCTATGTTTCATCCGATCGACCTCAAACTGATTTAGACATTCTGACGGTTTTAATATATGTATGTATAGTATGAAAAAGTTATAGAAAACTGTTGTATACCCTGTACCCAAAGGGCAGCTAAGATTATATACTTGTATGTACTTATTAGAAATTTAAATGCATTGCAGCTCCCCACATCTTAGATACTTTTTGTCCAAATACTAGATAGCTGAATGATTAAGGCAGTTACAAAAAACTTCAATGGATTTTACTTCTTTTTTTTTTAAATGTTTGTAAAAAAGCACAAATGTTCGGTTAAAAGGGAAATAAAATCAAATCATTTGTTAGCTCCAAATATAAGCCTCTTGTATGCCTAGTTATGAGTTTTTCATGTTGGGTTCCAATTTTTTATATCTGTTTTTTTTATTGTCACTAGAGTTTTCTTCGACTCTTTTATTTATCTTAGTAATATATTGTGAAGAGTAAAATTTCGTATTTAAATATAAGAGAGAAACAAACATCCAAGAGTTTGTTTTTATAAAGTAATATGACTTTATAAGTTGCCAACCTTTCCATTCGAGCATATCACATATCGCATAACCCCACGTTCAGCTATAAGTCAATGCCAATAATTCTTATAAAAATTCCAAGAGATTTTATTTGCGGACATTAAAATGCCAAGACAATGAATTCATTACGAAATCATTTAAACAATTAAAATTGCATAATAAATAAATACTGGCCGTAAATACCTGGAAATCCTAATTAACTGCAAAATATCACAATTGAACTTAAAGGCTACTAAACGCTAATTAAATTACAAAAAGGCACTATTGGACGCAACGGCAATGGATGGGAGCGGGATGCTCGCGACTAAGCCGAGACGGTACTTCCTAATATGTCCGAGATGCTGAAGCTGCTCCGTTTGGGTGCAGCGGCGGGCACGGGGGTGCTGGCCACAATCTCGGGCGCATTCGTTGTTGTACTGACCACATCGACAAAGCCATCGTCGGCTTCGGTATCGGCCAAACTGGATGCAGACGATGACAAAGACTCGCCATCGTCGTGCGCATATGAGGCTGGCGATGGCGGCGTGTAGGCCCAACTTGGATAGCTGGCGATGTGTCTGGCATAATCAATGGGCATGGCTGGCATGGCGGATTGAGACGAGGCCGACGGAGGTGGAGGCGGTGGTGGCAGATAGAAATTGGCCTCCAGTGTATCCAGCAGATAATGGCGCTGCATAAGGCCCGAAGCAACCGGCTGTGGCAGCTCCTCAATAATGGTGCGCAGACGCTTCGCCGACGGCTCCAGCTCAATGCCAACTGGCGAAGAGGATGACGATGATGATGATGATGACGAGGAGGTCGATGAAGTCGACCTGGGTGGTGGTGGTGGTGGTGAATCGCTCAGCTTGCGCTTGCAACGCGATTGTCCAGACTCACGAAAGCCCTTAGCAAATGGATTATTGTCGATCTTCAGCTTCGTAATGCGATCGTTCTGCGAAAACGGAAGAACAAAATTGAGTTTTGGAAAGATATTGTGCTACCACTTGAATGGCTTGAATGACTTGACAGCTTCTGGCACTCGACCCGACTCTGTGACTGCAGCTAATTGGCAGTTGGCGGCTTGGTAGACGACGCCTTGAAGTACCACAGACATTCTCTATGCCGCAATATATATATGTATGTACATGTATGTTCTACACACCTGATAAGCAGTGACGGCTATAAATTCCGTTTCCGGAAAAACGAAGGCCTGTTGCGGGGCCCAGGGTATCTGTGGCAGATCAGCGGTGCGTATGACATGCAGACGCGGCTGATATTTGTGCATGCTGGCCAACACAATCTACAAAGATAGGATGAAATTATGATTTAGTAAAGGAAATTAATCGATCAGTTTATAAAAATATGTGAATCATAACAACGGTCAGACAAGCAAATAATTTGCAGTGCAATTCAGGCTTACTAACAAGTAATCTTTGAAAACTAGAATATAATTGAAAATAGAATTCCCGTCTTCATTGGATTAAGATTCGACACACATAGGCTTAATAGAGTATGATTAGAAGTGGGTGAATAGAAAAAGCTGAGAAAAAACCATTCCCTCAATTTGTATATGGATATTTAAAAAAAAAGAGAGCATTTTTCCTGAGAAGAATTTATTTTAAAGGTGGAGAAATAATTTGCAGATAATTTGTTCAAAAATTTCTCAAGATTAGCTCGTGAAAAGTAAATTTTTAAGTTAGAACACAAATTCAACTGATTTAGTTTAATGATTAAATCTATGGAATTCTTAAAGAATTTAATGAATTTGTGTGCAGATAATTTGCCTGTCTGACCGCAGCCAAAATATTTTTTACCCTCTTAATCATTGCTTAATGTTCAGTTGAATTGTCTTTAAAAACTGCTGCTCGTTCCCCTCAAGATAAGGGAGTGAGGCCTTATACTATATGTCTATATTTTTCACTATTATTTAGGTGGGACTGTGGGGTTTTTCTGCGCGTCTAGTTCCCCACAGTAAACAAATATTTTAAGGTGTTTATATGAATCGAAGGCATACATATGTATGTAGAAATTTTCGTAAGATTATTCACACATATAGCCTCACCTAAATATCAAGTAAGGTTGACTTTATTCATGTGGTTATAAACCACTCTTAATACTATATAAATATTTTGGTAATACTCACATGTCCATTACTATCCAGCGTATTATTGGTCAACTTCACTTTGCTGAAGAGCAGTGGTTGTGTCTGCCAATGCTTGCCCGTTGCTGGACTATCCGGATGTAGATACATGCGTTGTGGACTTTGTGGTTCGGCACCACCAGCGGGCACCCATTGGGATCCCGAGAATTTGTAACGGCAATCACCAATGGGCACCATTTCCAAGAGTACGCAATAGCTTGCATCCTCGTCCAGACCGTTCAGGGAAACGCGCATGGAGGGAAACATGCGTCTGTAAAAGTTAGTTGGGCCATAAACCGAAAGAGTTATCAGGTTGTCTTATCTGCAGAGCATTCTTTGTCTTTGTCGTATTGTCTTGTATAGTATACTATAGAATAGTACTTATGTCGGCCAGCCAGATAAGCGCCGACAGATATACAAAATAAACTGATAAATACATGCTGCAATGCATTCGAAAACCACCACCTACCTGCCACACTTGGTGATGATCATTTCGGTGCCAATTTGATGGAACTGCTGCCAGAGCTCATTGTTCTCCAGCTTTGCCTCCACACCGTGCAGCGGTGGATGTGGGGGCACAAAATGATGCCCAAAGCCTGGCAGGAGGCCGCAGAGTGGATCTGGAAATGGAAATGGAGTCGAAAATGGTTAAGTGCCGTCGGCATATCGCAGCCTAGATCGGTTGACTTACCTGGCAATCGTTGCATAATCTGCTGCCGATATATCTCATGGGCGATTTGTTGCTGCATGCGCAGATCGGCGATGTTTGGCATAGCCAACATTCTATATATGACAATTGGGCAGTAATTTGTAGAAACGAACTCTATTTACGAAACTAATGGCACCTTATCTTTGACTTTAATGTTTTTTTTTTTTTTTCAATTTTATATTTTGCGCTCGACGAACCGCTCCGCACGCTGTTCAGACTACAACTGTTTCGCTCTCCAGCGACGCTCTTAATAATTCGATTCTACCAGAATCCGGTCGGTTGGCTTCCCTGTGCCTCAGGTAGTCTCGTTTTCACACAAAAGAGACCTGTTTGCATAAGAGCTCAAGTGGTTTTCCAGCAGTGGTGGTTGTAGTGGCCCTGGTGGTTGTGCTGTGGTGTGCGTGCCTCTTATCTGCAGTGCTGGTATTGGCTGAAACCAAAGATCTTTGATGTTGCTGGTGTGTGTGTTCCGTGGTCTCGCTCTAGCAATTGATAGCGCCATTTTGGTTGGCTTGTGGCATACTTTGGAGTACGTGGTGGGGGCTCAACGATAGGAGCCCATAATTTTCCTAATCGATCAATTATGGACTGCTTTTGGAGCTCTCAATTGAGAAATTTCAACATTATGGTATGTGATGCCATAATTGAAATAATTCCAGATGAGATTGCTGGGCTTACAAAAAATATATGTTTGCCATATGACTATTCTAAAATTCTATATTGAAACATATTCGATTTCAATGACCTGATTCAAGTTCCGTACAAAGTACTTTAAGAACACTCCCTATATAATTCTGTAGTAAATACAAGTAGTGGAATCATCCAATAACTAAGTGTAGTTAGCAATACTGTTTAGTTTTGGAGCATTGTAGGTTCGGTTTGAAAACGCAGAATTTATTTTTACCTATTTTAGTTAGTTTTCTTTCAAATAATTTAATAATTTCCCACACAACCCTTGCTTAAAACGTTAGGGTTTGTTTATTCCTTATGTGGATACTATATTCAGACCCATATCGGCTTCCAACCACAAGAATAAGTTGTACGGAAAGTTTGGAAACTATTTAAACTTGTTTTAAGAAGTCCTCTAAAATTATTAGGTTTCCAACTAAACCAAAAATACACGTTCAAATTATGATATTCAATTACACTAGTTGACAAAATATTGTAACTAGAAAGGTGTTTGCCAATTTTTATACCCTGTACCCGTAGGGTAAAAAGGGTATATTAGGTTTGTGCAAAGTATGTAACATACAGAAGGAAGCATCTCCGACCCCATAAAGTATATATATTCTTGATCAGCATGACGAGAGAAATCGATCTAGACATGTCCGTCCGTCTGTCCGTCCGTCCGTCTGTCCGTCTGGATGAACGCAAGGATCTCAGAAACTATAAAAGCTAGAATAACCAAAGTTGGCATCCAGATTCTCCTAGGTCCGAGTAAGGACGAGTTTATTTTATTTTTTGGAATTTTCCCCCCCTTCCCCCGCTACAGAATTTCGTCAATAGCGTCCACATTTCAAATGCTACCTAAACCAAACTTTGCACACATAATTTATATATAATTGTCTACTGTTGTATCAAATTTTATTCAATTCGATCAATTCTAAGAAAGGTTATTAGCAAAACAAATTCTCGCCAGTACAACCCCCCGAAACTGCAGCAACAAGTTCGCTCTTCTTCTTCCTCTTTTTGCTGCTGCTATGGGCGCATATAACTCAGTGACGGAAGTTTACCTGGGTACAGGGTATTACACTGTCGGGCTTGCTCGACTGTAGCGTTCTCTCTTGTTAAACTTCTCTCTACCCTAACTATAATTCCGTATTTAGATTAAATTAGATATGGTTATACTATAAGTAGTATTACAGTGACTTGCAATTGATTATAAAAAATATGTATGTGTATAACTCAATTAAAATACTAAACTAGTCAATAATAATTAAAATCTAGTTGCTAGCTGATGTTAAAAATATAAAAAGAAATTACGTAAATTTTAAATGTGAAAATGATTAGCGATTAAGTTTTTAGTTATGAATAGACTCCTATTATACAGAATTAAATATGGTTTTTATATCTTTATTGGGCATATAAATTGGTTTTTATGAAATCAAATCAATATACATACATACAAGTACATAGCTCTCTCAGTCCCTGCAACTGTTCGAAAGAATGAATATCTAGGTCTTCTAAGCCATAACAGCTAGTGCCACCAAACTTGGCATTTAGACTTGTCTTATCTATATACAGATCAAGGTTATTACAATGCTTTTATAGATAATGCCAATATAAAGCTGCTATAGATATTTGAGGTGTAATAACAATACAATATTGCAAAGAAATTTTGTGTTTATAATATAATATACCTATGCATATACGAGAATGTTTTGGAATCGATATATCGTAATATCATGATTATATTTTAAAAAAAATAAAATCTTTGTTAATGCATTTGCCATCCGTTATGAGCCTTCGATCCATTTAAATAACTTTTAGGTAGCTAACCATCTGTCCAAGGGATTGTTGCTATTTATCTGAAAACATCAGCATACCGTTTGATAAGTTAGAAAATCCTTTAGCTAGCGTACGGTTGGAAAACATGAAAAGGAGATCCGACCGATAAGTTAACTGCAATCAAACGTTAAACGGTAAATGGGCACCACAAATTGTAACAGGACGAGAAGAGGAGGAGAAGGAGAAGGACACACATCAAACTGGCGCCAATCAACTGCCGCCTGGCCACTTGACAGACTCAGACCTCGATGTTGACTCACATACTACTTATAGTTTACACTTGTTGCCTTCGATCTGCCACTTGTGGCAGGCAGGAGCAGAAGCAGGACGCACCGTTGGCGGCACTGTCGGCAAAAATTCACAGGCGGCAAGTCATAAAATGTCATCACACTTTGTGTCGCACTCTGCTGATGCTGGGCTGCTGTAGCATGTTGGGAATGGGAACAATGGATTGGACACAAAACAGATCGTATAAATGTGCATTTTATGGCCTGTCCCTCTGTCCCTCTCCCTGTCTCGTCAGCATGCGGTGCGGGTGCGGATGAAGCAGCGCCTCCGTTCCCATCATGCCTATTTCGAACAGAGACTATGCAGTTTAGAAAATTATTGTTATGATTATTGTCTGTTTGTGTGGTGCGGACGCTTTATTGTTGTTGTTGGCCGGCATCGTTTAGACTGCGATTTAGACAAACCGCACCCACTTGGGGGTAATTGAAATCGAAACCAAAGACGCAGACGAAAACTCTTCGTATTCTTTGTTCGTTAGCTGAACATTGTCTGCAAATTCTTAGGGCATTACTCAGCCATTCGTTGGCATTTCCGGTAATTTGACTAGCTTTGCATAAAGTCTGCGCAACATTTCCGCTAAGTGCACAATCTGCTCGTACTCGTATAGCCCGAAATTCGATTGAATGCCTGAGTCATTGCAATTAGCGTTTGGGTCTAAGCGTCGTCCAGACGGGGATTTGTGCGCCTGCGCACAACACCGTGCCTGTCATTAGCGCGTGCGCGTCACATTTTCATTCATTGCCTGCACTGGAAAGTCCCGGGAAATTCTTCCCTTTTTCTCTCTTGGTAATGTTAATGACTGGCTTGTAATTTGTTTGTTATCTTTGGCAATACGCTTACTTAGGCTGCCGTGTGGCTGCTTAAAACAACAACAATAAGTGACATTATTCCGCATATGAATCAGACATATCCATAGATTTATTATTGCTGCACTCGCATATTTATCTTCAACATTCTTTCTTGTTTGGCTTAGACAACACGTCGGTAACATGTTTACAGGCTTTACATTATATATATATTTACAAATTAGGGACCGGAAATTATGAATATTGGTCAAACACATCGGTTCAGTTAGACAATTTTTAAAGATAGATTAAAGCAGTGTTCTACGTGCAAAATTATTCAAATTTTACAATAAGGAGCATGTTTTTTATAAACAATATTCAAACAACTTTTAGGTTAGACAGTTTTTTTTTTAATAAAATAAAATAATAAAAGAACTTTTGATTACATTTTTTGTAACTCATTTTTTAACTTGGAAAATTGCACTGCAGTTTTTTCAAATTCCTTGCTTGGGTTTTTAAACTTAAGAGTTTATTTTCTTAATTACAAAAATATTTCCATTATATTTAATAACAAATTGATTCGATTTTCATCAATCGACGATGGACGGTGAATAAAACAAAGTTGAAGTTCAAAATTAAATACTCAAAATTGTATCTAGTGATGAGTTTTTAACATTTTGTTTTGACTTAGAAAAACGCACTGGAATGAATTGTTTGTTTTGAATTCATATTTTAAAAATAATAATAGTCTAAATTGAATCATCATCAAACCGCCAATTTTAATAAAAGAGCCATATTGCCGGAAAGAATTTTCTCGGTTAAAAAGTTAAAGTTAAAGTATAAAATAAGTTTCAACTCAACAAAAAGTGTTTTCTCAATATTTCCATTTCACCTATTAAATCACTCATAACATTGCATTCGATTTGAGAGTTCAAATAATACTTGGAAGTTTTTTTTAACACCGTCAATCGAAAAAGAATTTGTATATAATAATATATTTGTATACAAAATATAATAATATATAATAAATGAGAACAGTTATTATTATTTGTAAATAAATATTATAGGAAGTTGGAATCTCCTTTTTCATTTCTTAATTCTCGTTTTTAAATCATTTAACTATTATAAAGGTCCCAGATCATTTTACTATTATTTTACAAAACACTTGCATATTACACAAATTTTTTTAATTATTCGACGTGCTACTCTTTTTATTGGTTTTTAGTTTATTTTCTTGAATTAGTTTATCACAGCTATATATTATTAAGTTAAATATTATTATACATTGATTTGTTTTTATGGATTTGGCGAATTGTTTGAGTTTGCTAAGAATTATTAACTAAATTTTTTTAGTGCATAACTCACGCAATGCCGCAAAATAGTTCGCCTACATTTGAAATTTATAATATAAAAAGCTTTTGCAATACACTTAAAAGTAATGTTTACCTAACATCAACTAAAAAATCAATTTCCACTTAGAAAATATACACACATACATATTCTTTAATTATATGTTATTGTTGAGCTGCCAGATGCACCATGAAAAATGTGTTAAATATCAGCAAACTTGCAAGCTCATCCACAATATAGAGAAATGACATCGAAAGCAAAAAAAAAAAAATGTTTATGCGATATGTGCCGTCCACGAAAGCTTAGGATAGCTCGAAACCAGTATTGCTGCTGACTGCATAGCGCAGTTTATCGCGCAGCGTCGACTTCTTCTGATAGTTGGGCAGCTTCAGCAAATTAAAGCAGGTGGATGAGGTGGGCAAACGATTAAGGGGATCCTTTTTGCGTATGGTAAAGAAACCGCGTATCACACTGCCTATGGTATCGCCCGTGTCCTCATCATCGCCCACCTCCACGCAGCGTATGGAAAATGGAGGCTCCAAATGCGCAAATCCCAAAAGCGGCGGCTTCGAGCAGCTCGTCACAAACTGGAATAAAGGTGAAGAGAAAATTATAATTTTGAAGCTCAAATTCCAGTTATTAATTATTAGATAATATTTGAAAAATATTTTTTAAAACTTTCCATCAAAAAAGTAAGAGTCTAGAATACAGTCTTTCAAAAGTGTTATATTTTGTTGTAATTGGTCATCAAACACTCGAGATTTCTACTATTTTCATTGAACATTCTATGACATTTTCTTAAAACATCAGAATATAGTGACTCGTAAAAAACCATAAAGCCAAAAGATCATGACTATATCGATTTGATCCCTGATACTAATTATATCGTGTTTGCATTTTGGATAAATCCGAGTATTTTCTTTTAGACAATACCACCATAGATCAACTTTAGTTGAGATAAGAGCTATTGCACAATCAGTCAATGCTCGAAGACTGGTTTGCTTACAAACAGACGGACGGACCAATCAGACTAAAGAGCATAATACAAATTTAAGCACAATTGCTCACCTTTAAGAATAATTTGCGCTCCTCCTCCGTGAAATCCTTAGCTAGAATGTCCCACAGCCAACCAACCACACGATGCGAATCATGAAAGCCTCCATAATACTGTGTGTGCTTGCGCAGATCTCGCAAGTCCAGCGGCGCCGTATCGCCAGATATCAGGCGCTGCAGTTCGGGGGGTGAGAACAAGGACAACCACTCCGGATTCACAATGCTGCGAAATCCGCGATTGAACGCCTGCGTTTGCTCGCGTATTTGGGTGTTCATGTGAAAGTAAGCCATGTAGTGTATGTAGACGAGCTTATTATGATCGGTGACCACGCGTGCCTTGCCGCCCGGATGCAGCTCGTGTGTCACTATCTTGCCCATGACGTCCTGATCCACTGAGAAAGTTAAATTTAAATCAGCCACGTCTTGCTTGTAGTGTTTGATGAACGTCAAGCTGCGATAAAGTTCGTTGTCCAGGGAGGGAAGCTCATCCATGCAGGAGTATAGAGCCTGCTGTGTCTGTCCCAGCAGCTGTGACAGAAAGAACGATGCAAAGGGCACATCGACAACAATTCCTTCATAGACTGCCTTCCCCAACATGCGACCGACAAACTCAAACAGCTGCAAATGGTTATCCTGCACGTAGGAGATGGGCGATGGATATAACCGTTGGTCCGATGTTGTTTTGAACAGATTCAATGATGGATCAAACACTTTTTTGATAGTCTCCTCAAGGAATTCTTTAAAAACGCCATCCTGATCAATACCAGCCTCATGCAGACCCTGCTGATTAATGAAACGTACGCGTATTACGCCTTTTAAAGCGTGCGTCGGCTGCGCGGCTAGTTGTCGATACCCTATAATCATTTGATTTCAATTAGAAAAGAGGTTTTCATTTTTCAATAATCATTTAACTTACCATCCTCCACAATACGGTCTCTATGTATGACAATTAGGGCGGAACGGGGCGATGCGCAAGCGCTCTCCGTAAGACCCATGACAGCCTTTTCGTTCTGCACAAATTTCCGAAAGAGCTTCACTCTATCGTCGTGTGGAATGATATGTGGCATTTTAGCCAACAAGAGCATAGCATTCCGTTTGGCTTTCTCAAGATCATTTATGAAATTGGATGGCTTGACCTCGGGTATTAGCCAGTGATTGGTTGGCGTAAATGGACGTCGGCAGTCACGTCGATAAAGACAAAGTAGTAGCGTATGCAGCGACATAAAGACTGGATTTTGTACAATGTTTTTGGCGCCTGCAAAAGTAAATTTAATAATCCAAATTGATGTCAAAAACAAAAGAGAAGATACATATGTAAAGCAAAGATAAAACTACTTAACTATGTTCACCTGGGAAAATTAAAACCTATTAGAAACTTTACAACAAAACTATTTATAACAGTTAATTGTCGATGTACCCAACCACTAAGCAATTATCAGCTTTTTCCCTAAATTTTCTGTTTATTTGATATACCCACAGAAAATCCTGGGTATTTTGAATATATAACTAGCACACAATAGATGGAAAGGTTTCTTTAATAGATTATCTTTTCTACTGAATGCGAATGAGCGCCCAGCAAAACCATCAGCATATCAAAGATAATGACTAATGACTACAAATGTTCTATAAAGTTTTAAAAATGTCGATAATTGGTCTAAAACATTTAATATGTACTCTAAAACCTAGCATTACTAATTTCTGTGAAAGGTGTGAGAAAACAGCTGTGGAACGTACCCAATATGTTGTCGTTGATTAGCTTATAAAGCATGTTATTGAGAAAATATGTGAGCATGACGTAATCGTTGAGGCGAAAAGGATTCTGCTCGGTGTACATTTCGTATTCGTCCAGAATGCTGCACAAGAAATAGACCCAAGTTACTAATGTTATACGAAATTGTAATTGTTTTTCACTTACGTCACATAATGAGTCATGCAGTCGCAGAATAGCATCAGCATAGCTGTCTGGGGTTTTTGTAACGATGTCTCCCCCTTGAGCATCTCCAGGAAATCCTTCATGCCACAATTCGGACCCAGGGAGGTCAACAACAACCAAATATCGAAAAGCACATTATCGTTGTAACAGATGCCAGTCAATATGTCCAGCTTCATTTGGGAGAGCGTATTGAGTGCTGCGTAGTACATGCCACAGATGCGCGCCACCTGTACCACATCGTTGTTATCGAGCTTGCGCCAGTGATGCTTCGCCTGTTTGCCCGCACTGCCGCCACTGATGAGGTGAGCACCGCGTGTCGAACTGCGCTCTAAAGCGCGACGCAACAAATTGCTAGTCGATGGCTGTGGTGGTGGTTGGAACTCAATGCGTTCATAGTTCTCATTGATCTCCTTTAGCAGATCGCCAAGCAGCAATTTGATGCAACGATGGTCCCACAACATGTGAAATTGTTTCTTAATTAGGGCAACATTTTGATTCTGTGCCGGCTCAGCGCAAGGTGTGTGCCAGCCCAGTAGCTCGTGCCATTGCGTAAAAACGCCTTTGGTGGTTACTGTATTAGGTATCAGCTCTAGCAGCGATGTGGTGGTATCCTAAAATAAACACGTAAAGTTCTGTAAAACCAATGCCTTCTGAAGTTTATCTTTGCTTTTCACTCACAGTTAGTAGTGGGTAGGCCAGCAGCTTAGCCTCGGCCATATTGTCAATGTTAAACATATTTACAATGTTGGCCAAAAAGGCCAACGCAATGGTGCCGGGCATACTAGCCCCGAACTCCTCAAACCATTGAAAATCTTCTGATATGCTGAGCGCTCGCTTAAGCAGCCATATCGATGAGAACTGCTCAATGCATTGTGGCACACTCTGATGCAGATGATAAATAAGCGCCGGAACTGAAAATATCTCGGTGAGGAATTGGGACAAAAGATTGCGGCTAAAGTCGCCATCGATCAGCGGACGCAAGCAGAGCGTTATAATCCCCACCAGGGTCACAGGCTTCACAGTCAATTCCTCACGTGCAGTGCCCCTCAATAGTATGACCTGTTTAATCGTAAAATTTATTTAAATATCCGTCTTCCATATATACATACATCTCCGCCTTACCCGCATTGTTTTATAAAAATTGTGCGTCACTAAATGACCTTGAATATTGCAACAGACCTTTTGCATAGCGGGTTGGAGACGTTCAAATTGAGGATTGCGCAGAATGGCCCAAGACTTGGGCGCTGTAAAGACGATCAGCGTGTGCAGAAATAGGGCAAGCGATATGCTATCGGCATGATTTTCGGGCTTAAGTTCTGTCAAAAACTGCAGACAGTTCGTCAGCAGGAGCTTTATGTGCGCAATCCACGGCAAGCTGCGTTCCTTGTGTAAACAGAGGGCGGCATACGAAAGCTTTGGGTTCTCCACCTCCATGGCTTTGTTCAGATAACGACAAATGCGTTCCAAGCGTTCGCGGGCTCTCCCATCGCTCTTGTCCAATTTGATTTGAGTAAGATAGCGACGAAGCACCGGATAAACCGTAGCAGCCACCAGATCCAGCTCTCTATCATCCTGTTCGGACGTTGGACAACCCACAAATAGTTCATCGAAGTCTTTACTAAAGGGTGCATTCAAATATACAGGTAGGTACATATTATAAAATAGACGGATGATTACAGATACTTACATTATTCGCTTTTGGTATTGGCTACGCGCTACATATTTTTTCAGTGTGGATTGCAACAGAATGGCCGCATTCTCACGACGCTTTTCCAGCGCTCGTTCCTCCCGTGCGGCCTTCGTCTGCTCCAGGAAGCTACCTTTCTGTGATTCAGTTTGAGTGAACATTTTGTGCATGTGTATGTGTGTTTGTTTTGCTTGGTGTGGGTTTCCGTTTCCCTGTATGTTTGTTGCGTGAAAATTTCTTTATGCTGCACTTTTACACACTGTTGTTAACAGCACACACGGAGAATAGTACTCATCTTGAAGCTGTGCAGAGCTTAGTTCATTTTAAATGCACACCAATGACGACTTAATGACTAATTAATTAGTTACTAATTAACTTCAATCTTTACCCAATTTCATTTTTCGTTTGCTTTGATAGGGATGTTGATAATAGAGCTGCAAAATGAATCGATGCAGAATCGATTTAATCGATGTTTAGCATTTTTGTTAAGCATCGATTTTATTTGTTGAGAATCGATTAATCGTGTAAATTTAAATGAACACATTTGTTTCAAGGTGACGCTGAGTGGCTAAGCGGTAAAAGTAAAATTAATAATTGCCAAATAAATCAAAACATTACATTTTCTTTTATATTTTTGATTATATTGGTGTGTTGGTGGCTTGGAGAAGAGGAGGGAAACGGATAAATGGATAAATTTTTGAAATCAGGTAAGAATTTATGCCTCATTTAGTTAAGCAGTGAGGGGCACTCCGACATGTGACATATGTATGTATGTACAAGTATGTATGTATGTACACGTATATTTTATGCGCAAAACTGCACACATTTTTGTATATACATATGTGCAAAATAAATATGATTGTTACGCATGATTTTTGTTTTCTGTGCACATAAACGCAGCTTAGTTTTAATTAATTATTGCATTATTGTATGTGTACTATTTACATTGATATATTTTTGTATGTAAACCCTTTAGCGGCACAAGTATTTACATTTTTTATTTAATTTTGGTTTTTAGGTAATATCAAGGAAGTTGACGAGTCCGTGGAGCACAGTGGCAAGCGTAAGGGAAGGCAAAAGTCCGACATTTGGAATTTTTTTACAAGGCTGCCAGGGGGAACCTCTGCAAACTGCAAAACTTGTGGTTTGGATTATAGAACAGGTGGAAACACAACAATCTTGTTTAATCATCTATTGCGGGCTCATACGACTTTGTCCCATGAGTCGAAGCCTGTGGCGACCATAAAAACTTTCTTCAGTTCAAACAATTATTATGAAAACAATTCCGCGCATAAAAAGGAGCTTGACAAAGCATTAACCCGCATGATTGCCATCGATATGCAACCCTTTCGCATTGTTGAAGATCGTGGATTTCGTGATTTCGTTTATTACCTTAATCCAAGGTATATATTGCCCAGTAGGACAACTTTGAGAAACGTGCATCTACAAAATATGTACAACGAAATGAAAGAAAAACTTGTTCTGATTCTCAATAACGTAGAATACTGTGCCGTGACAACGGATAGTTGGACATCGCGGGCGAATGAATTTTATGTCACAGTTACTTGCCATTTCATAGACAAGAACTTTGTATTAAGAGAAGCTGTTTTATCAACGAACAAACTTGATATTGATACCGATCACACAAGTAATAAAATAGCTGACTCTTTGCGTGCAGTACTGTTGGATTGGAATATTTTATATAAAACTTCTACTATTGTTACGGACAATGCAGCAAATATGATAAAAGCTTGTGAAATTCTGAAGAAAAGGCATTTGCCATGCTTAACCCAAACCTTGTAATTCAGGATGTATTGGCAAGCGGATTGTCACCTTTTTTAAAAGCAGTTCTATTGCATATGCAAAATTAAAAGCCGCTCAAAATGATGAAAACCCCCTTAGCCTAATACAGGAAGTACCCACGAGATGAAACAGCTCATTCAAGATGATGGAAAGAATTATAAAATTAAACAGTAACATTTCTTCTGTGCTTCTTAGTACTTTAAAAGCACCTCATCCATTGACTGCGGATGACATAAATATAATGAAGGACTTAGTTTGCTTGTTTATGCCCTTTGACACTGCAACCACCCGGGTCTCTTCGAGCAGCATAGTTACAATTTCCGAAATAATTCCGACTACAGTTGATCTATACCATCGCTTACACAATGCAAAACTGGCACTTAAGACAGCGGAAGGAATAAAAACCTACAACTCTTTGATAGATGGAGTTAATCGTCGCCTTGCACCTTTTGAAAATCGAAGCGTAGCTCAACTTGCAACGATTTTTGAACCAAGATTTAAAAAAGAAGGGTTCGGTTGTTCTTCCACCGCCGACGCAGCAGGTTTTTTGTTGCAAAATGAAATTGCAGCTTGTAGTTCATACGAAAATCCGACTCCCGACATCGAAGAGCCACCAACACATCCTGATTATCCAAGCACTAAAACATCGCAAATTTATGCATTTGTGCAGGACAAAATAGCACAAAAACAATCAAGAACCCCGCAAGCAGATGGTATAATATTAGTGAGACAATACTTAGAAAAACCTCACGAGTTGCAGGGCACACCACCATTGGAATACTGGAAGGTAATACTTGTGGCATCTAAAAAACTTAACTGCTAATTATATTTTTGCAAATTTCAGACACATGTGCATGAAATGCAACACTTTCAAAATTGCATCTTTAAGTATTTGTGCATTCCAGCATGCTCCACTGCGTCTGAACGCATGTTCAGTAAGGCGGGATGCATCCTCTCTGACAGACGCGCCGCTTTAAAACCGTTTATTGTAGACCAGTTGCTGTTTACAAACAAAAACCAATGGCTAAATGAATAAAATTGATCTTATTAAAAATAAAATTTAATTTTTCTTCCTTAACGATTAATCGATTTTATTTTTGAAAAAATCGCGATTAATCGTAAAAGATCGATGCTGCCAACATCGATTATTTTGCAGCTCTAGTTGATAATCCACCAAAATATCGATATTTTTGTGTCAAAATTAGTCTGGACAGAGACTTGACAGCTCTGGTCGTAGAAACAAGCAGCTGCTGCAAGTTGGCAGCGCCATCCATCTTATTTGTATCGATATTCTAATAAAACACTTTTCTTTATACAAATCTTTCTAGCATGGAGTGAAACTATCCGCAAACAAGTTAGTTAGTAAAAACTATTGTCATTGTATATTGATTATGAGGCTACAAACTATTGTGGAATTGAGTCGAGCGCGCGCGCGCCATTATTGCTAACGCCGATTTTTTTTCATTTGTCATCGATATATGCTGCTTACATCTCTAGCAAACTGTTCATCGCCAGCCAGCACTTTCTACGAGCAATTTCGTGGTCGTGAATTATTAACTTATCTAGTGTAAAATAAATTGCCAAAAATGCATACAAATACTACCAGCAGATTCAGTTGTGTGCATATCTGCAAAAACGTGTGGCATGCGCATGCATGCGCCTTTTTGTGATGCAAATTTGGGCTAAGAAAAAGCTACCACTGGTAGTAGTATGATTCGCGAGACTTCCGCAGCGAGAGCGAGCAAAAACAAAATAACAAAGCTAAAAGTGCTAATGAAAAATACATACCTACACATATGTATATGTCGATGAGAAGGTGAAAATTATAAATTAATAAATGTGCGGTTCGATAGCATATCACGTTAGCTAAATATGCTCCTCAAATTTCGTGTATTGCGAGCAATCAAAACTGTGAATTGCAACATAAAATAATTTCAAGGTTTGCAGCAAAAGCAAGCGAATAGAAAGCAAAAGGTAATTGGAAAATAGAACGATTTTGGCACAAGCGCAGTATTGTAGCTACATATGTATGTATGTTGTTGTTGCTATTGCTGCTGCTGTTGTTAACGTATGTCTGACGCTGTCGGGTCGACCGTGGGTGGGTGGGGCGTGATTTGGGGGCCGCCGTTGTCGCATTGTGTGGGACCTACAAAACAAAACAACACATGCATATACACATATGTATGTACATAGGCACAGACAGAAGACAACAGTTCCCCAAAACGGAACAGAAAGTGAGTGTAATTGAAAGAACGTCACACAAAAACAATTGTGCATACATACATATACGAGTATATATATGTATGTACATACACATATATATATATATATAACTACATTTGTGCAGTAGGCTGTAGCGGCAGCGAAAGCACAACAACATCAAATAGGGGAAAGAGCAAAATGCCTATGACTGCCTGCCTGCCTTGTAATCTCATGTAATTTGCCGCAATTTTGCACATGCATGCGAATGCATCTATGTTTGTATATGTGTATGTTAGTGATGTTTGAGTATGTGTGAGCGCGCGTGCTTTGGGGTCGTGGGTCGTCGATTTGTAGCCGCGACGACGCATTGTCGCTTGCATGCAATGTCGCGCGGCGCACACACATTAAAACATACTAAGGCAGTCACAGAGGCCTTCCCCCAATATTTTTTGTTATACCCTGTACCTGAAGGGTTAAATTCTATACTAAATAGTCTTAACAGCACATATATTTGTAGCAGGCAGAATGAGGCGTGGCATGTATATATGTACATATGCATTTGCACATACATTTTAGTACATACCCATATATAGAAATTTTTTATAGTGCATCGTAATCTGGAGTTTCATCGAAATCAATGCATTATATCAGATAGCTGTTAGTGGATCCCCGGGTACGGGAGTTCTAATTAGTCGACATAGTCGTATTACAATTTCAT